AGAAGCCCCTGCTGGCCCAGCCCAGAGACCAAACAATCCGTTCAAAAATTGGAAGAAGTGTTCTGTTGCCGGGCAACATCAACTTTGTCGTACGAAAAGCACAGATCAGAAATCTGCTCAAGCGGATGCTTCGAGGTCGGAACAGTACCAAATTCAGAAAAATCCCAAGCACCTTTTCTTGTGATTCATGGAGGCCATACTTTGTCTCGTCAGCATACAGTCCAATCGGAATCGCATTCATATTTGTTTGCTTCGTTGCCCAACCAAGTCCTTTGGCTGCAGCGAACTCCCAATAGCGACGAACAACTTCCTGGTCGGTCGTTAGGCCAACGACCGAGTGGACATAATGTAACACTTCGTGCGGGTAAAGCAACGGAATATCCATCATCTCGTATGTCTGGGTCGTATTGGGGCATTGAGGAAGAACCGGAACTTTGACGAGCTTGGGCTCCTTCTTGAAAATTATTACCCTTAATAATTTTGGCCCTGAAATTTCCATGATATTATCTTGCATGCCTTCAGAAAACACAAATCCATTTTCTAGTCATGAAGTTGGAAAACCCCAGATTAAAGCGATAAGCTCAGCCAAGATTCCAGCGGCATGTCCACCGACTTGTAGAAATCTCTGGAAGCATTCTTCCCGCAAAATTTGGCCAGCTGCTTCGTTATGCGGGAGCATCTACCTTTGCTCTCCTGAGAAGCAGGTGTCGCGACAACACGATTCAAATTTATTGAATAGAATGCATCCAAAAGAAAAGGCCAAGAATCTTCATGCATCGTCTTCGCTGATTGCATCACACTGTGGGCGCTGTCGCCCTCAATCCGGCGGAACATTGTGATCTCCGATCTATTGATCATTTTGGGGAATTGATCATTTTGGGGAAAAGATATCTATTGCCGCTGAGACACAAAATCGCCGATCTTTTCTAACCATTCTTGAAGACCTGGTCCATCATCTTCCTCACCTGCAGGGTCAAGTGATGCTTTCGAAAATAGAACATCTGATGCTCTTGATGATCTTTCAACATGCGCTGGCATCTTTTTTCCTGCTGTTCTGCACGACTTCGCAGTTGGAACCCATGCGTGATTCCCGGGTCTATGGAATCGTGCTGCCCTTTCCAGAAGAAGCCGTGCTGAGCTACGTGCAGAGCATCTGAAGATTTGTAAGCTCAAACCCCGAAGATTTCAAATCGCCCAGCTGCGGCTAGTTCCACAGCTAGGATCGGAACATTCGCGCCATAAACTCAGAAGCTCGAGGCACACGAGATAGCATGGGTCTGTGGCCAAACCCTAAACCTGAATACTATTCAGAATAGCATACTAGGACAACCTAGGATACCGGGTGTGGAGGTTTATGTATGAAGTACGTTTGAGTCTAGGGTTTGCAGGGTTCATGAGATGGTGACAAATAAGCTACAAATCCTGCAACTGCAGGACCTTGAGATTTAAGGTTCATGGCAATTCGGCTATGAGGGTAGCTCTTTTTGATTGTTGAACCCAATCCTACGCTTCAGAAGTCTTAAAGAAGGGTCCCAGTTCGGAGAGGGTTTTCTGGTTTATTGCTTGGGTTTTTTTTCGGTTAAGTGTTTGGGGTTTATTGGATTCAGGAGAAGTAAAAAAGTCGCACCGTCAAAGCTGCCATTGAGGCTTTCAATCTGAGAAAGAGGAGCACTGCACAACCACAATCCCGAAATATTCCCAATGTGATCGGACCCTAAACCTGCAATAACTCCGGACCCTAAACTCCACTAAAACCCTAAAAGCCTGAACACTAAAACCCTAAAGCCTTACAGTCCTAAAGAAGCTCTGCCCTAAGCCCTAAGACGAAAACCCCAAGGTTTGGATGCTGAAATCAAAGCTGTATGTCACCGCCCGGTTTCTGAGTAAAGCTTAGACTCTTGCAGCTACGGATCGGATTGGTGCTAAGGCTTGGAACCCGCAGGCCTGTTCCCTAAAGCTAGCTTAAAGCTAAGCCTCCAGAAGCCTCATGAGAATATGCGGCTTTGCCGTGGCGATGCTCTACTTCGCTTTCCTGGCTTTGGCAGCCATGGTCTTAGCGAGCTTGACAGCCTTTTCAAAGCTCTCGATTGCACTGTCCAGTGCCGATGTCAACTCATCCAGCTTGTCATAGTCCTGCGGGGGATTCATAGTGTTCTACTGCAATCTCTCGATGTAATGATACAGGATCCCCACCTTCTTGTCCACTGCTTCTTGCAAACCTCCACGGCCGGTTTTGAGACTTTCGAGGGATTCCTCGCAATGAGTGACAAGAACGACAAGCCTGGCACTAGAGATCATGCAGCCACTCCTTCAGGTCTTTCTCTGCAGCTTCGCGAACGTTCGCACCCCTGAGAATCAGAAGGGGTTCGAGCTTAAGATTTAGGATTTTTTACGGTTTAGAATGTACTGGCTTGTAAGTAATCCAATAAGTCGACAATCAGAAGGGTTTCAAGACTCTTGCGTCGGAGTGAGGATCTGGGTTTGAGGGCCGAGGATTCAGGGTTTAGGTTTTGCTGGTTTGCAACATAAGCTTTCGGGACTTTTGGGTTGGAATTAGCACCCGGGGTTCTACTGTTTTGGCGCAAAAGAGCCATGAAGACTGAGCTCAAGGCAAGCTTTCGCAATCCTTTTCAGCATCTTGGGAAGCTTGAATCTTCTTGCCAGCTTTGTTGATGACCTTATCATGTAGGCTGGCGGGCTTATCAATTTTGAGCGGTACGAAACGAGGCTAACACTCCTTTTGCTCTGGAGAGCAACTTCTTGTCTTCTTCCTGCTTTTTCTTCAGCTCTTCGAGCACTTCATCCACCACTGGGTCTTCCTTGGCATCAGTTTTTGACTTGTTGTCCTTTCGTGTTTTATCTTTTTTCACCTTCTTGTCCTTCTTAGCCTTGTCTTTCTTGTCTTTGCTTTGCTTCTTGTTCTTAGGCTTCTTGACCTACGGAAAATACCATAGACTGATAGAGTTAATCTAGCAATCCCCAAGATGGCTGTTGTTGCCCAGCACACTACAACAAGATGATCCTAGAATAGGAAGCTTCTTTAGCCGTAACGATCAACAACTGGCATACAAAACAACTGCAAAGCCACCAACATGATTTGCCTTCTTGGGCTTCTTCGAGGCAGAGGAAGAATCGGCGGATGATGAGGAGGACGAGTCGATGTCGGCGGCCTGGTACAGCTGCTCCATAATCTCCTCCTCCTCTTCGACAAACTTCGAAGTGTCCAGGATTAAGTACTGTACCAACTCGTCCGACTCCGGTAGCTCTGGGTGGCGACGAATCTCCGTGGCTTTCAGCTTCTCGTCGGATTGTTTGCGAAGGATTATCGCATCTGTGGCTTCTTCGCCGAATTTGGCGATGACTTCGGCACGTGTCATCCATACCCTAACCCCGGTCCTCTTGGTTGACTTGACATTCTTGAGGTTGAGATAAATACTGGATGTTTTCCAGTCGCCCTGGCACTTCTCCCAGGCTTCGAATAAAATAGAATTCATCGCAGAATCTTAGTGCTGATCTCTTACATTCAACCAGGAGCTATCGTATCTAACAAAAAACATTATGAGATGATATCACCAATGGTATCTCTGAAGTCCTCACCCCGAAGCCAAAACCTGATCCGCGTCCGAGGTGGTTGCGGCCTGGAAAGTCCAAGAGGCTGACAGATTTCGATTTCATGTTCCTAGGAGCAAGCTCCAGAACCTGTGGGGCCTCCAGGGTTTAAGGGCTTTAGGGTTCAGGATCTAAGGTTAAGGCCAGGGTTTTGGTGTTCAGGTTTGGCTTTAGCTACCTGATTTGTTAAGGCCAGGGTTTTGGTGTTTGGGTTTAGCTTTAGCTACGGGATTTAGAGTTATATAGGTGTTTGAGGAGGGATGAGCTTTGGGTGCGAAGGTGCAGGTTGTGGATCTAAGGTTAAGGCCAGGGTTTTGGTGTTTGGGTTTTGCGTTAGCTACGGGTTTTGGAGTTATATAAGTGTTTGGGGAGGGATGGGCTTTGGGTAGGAAGGTGCAGGAAACAGATCTAAGGTTAAGGCCACGGTTTTGGTGTTTGGGTTTGCGTTTAGCTACGGGATTTAGAGTTATATAGGTGTTTGGGGAGTAGGAAACGGATCTAAGGTAAGGCCAAGGATTTGGTATTTGGGTTTAGATTTTAGCTTCAGGTTTAGGCTTATAGGGTATTTTGGGTGGATAGGCTTTTGGTGGGAAGCTGCACATTGACGAGGGGCCGTTCTTGGCCTTCTCACCCATGCGTTTGATCTCAACTGGTGTCTTCGGCGATTCTTAGTGGTTAGCAAGGCACAAACTTTCCCGGCAACATGTGCAGAAGCGACCAAGCCCCAGACCACGAACTGAGCGGTAGTACCGCATGTACCGTGCATGAGCGGCCTTCTTTCTCTTCATCAGCTCGTCTGCTTTCTTTTGCTCCTTTTGTGTGAGGTCCTCTTGTTTCTTATCTTCATCTGTTCCCTGCTTTGTGTTATTTCCTTCATCTTCTTTGGGCTTCGTGGCTTCTGGGTCTTTCTCTTCTTCGTGGCTTTCTTTCTTTTCTTTTTCTGAGGCCTCTTGCTTCTGGTCTTCAGCGGCTTGGGTCGCGACAATCTGCGATGACTCTGGTTTAGACTCCTGCCCTTGCTCAGCTTGGGACTTGACTTCAGCTGCTGGGGTCTCGGCAGGTTTCACTTGGGCCGGTGCCTCTGTGCTTGAAACCTCAGTGGGGCTTGGCACTGAAGACCCAGCCCCAACAGGGCTGGGCGCGGATCCTGGGGTAGTCGACACCGACTGCGCCTTGGTCGGGGTTGCTGCCAACTGCGCAAACTTTGCTTCGAGATCCTGAGCAATCTTACCCAGTTCACACCGATCAAAAGTCCTCAGCCGCTGAAGTGCGTCCACTACACCTGAGTCCAACTCCGATTGGCTGGTGTCAGACCTGTGAAGAGCCGGCGGAGGCGGAGTTGCCGCCACCTCGTCCGGAGCTGACTCCCACGAAGAACCCCTTCGTCTCCACGAGCCGTGCCATTGGTTGGCCCAGCCATCATCATAACCCTGGTTGTACCCCCAGCCCCACCACGAGCTGGACTGCCAAACTTGGCGGTCCGGCCCATCTGAAGCAACAGCATAAGATTCCGGCCATGACCTGGCTGGCCAGCCTGCTTCCGCAGCTTCAGGGGTTGGGACGGCGGTGGGGGTGCTTCCCTTGGCAACTGCAACTTGTGGGCAGCCGCCGGCTGTCTCATCATTGTTCTTCGCTTCGGTTTCGGCATTGCTTGCTGGCTTTGTGGCTTTCTTTTTCTTTGTTGCTTCTGCCTCCTGAATCTTTTGCTTCTTTTGCCGGGGTTCGGCCTCCTTTGTCGTAGACTACGCGAATTGAAGACTACTATCGTATTGCATGGATAGTTCTAGCTAACAACAAGACGGTTTAGGGCTGAGGGTTTAGGATTTAGGGCTTGGGATTTAGGAAATACACAATGAATGAGAGTGTTGCCTTAAGAAGCTCCGGGTCTATTTGCGTCTCGATGGAGTCTGGGCTGTGACCTCAAACACATTCTGTCGGAGAAACAGTGTACAGTGTAAGGCAATACTGGGCAATACCATGCAGCTGAGGCCTAGACGCAAAGGACCTTTCTCAGCTTTCCTAGGAAAGCCAGTAAAAATACAAACTTCTCAAAAAAGCGTGACTACTATCTTAAAGCCACGGCTAGGCTGCTGGCACTGCTGGAGTCGAGGCAGCGGCACCCTCAGGAATCTCTACCGAAATCCTTTCGGCCCTGGCACGGGCCTTTGCCAAAGCTTGTTCTACGGCTGAAGAAGGCATCTCTTGCCTTTCAACCGATCCTAAAAAGCCTAAGATTGCCAAAATGGCTGCATTGATTGACTTAACATGAGTCAGATTGGGCGTATGCAGAGTGGGTTTTGGACTCACGGGTATAAGGGGATTCCTTACGAGTATAGGGGGACTTGTCACGGGTATCGGGGTCCTTTCACGCTCAGCTCACGCTTGTTCACGCTCAGTGTTTTGCGTGGGCTCGTGCACTATCACAAAACTGTCTCGAAACACGTCTTGTGCGAGCCCTGGTCACAACACTCATCTTTATCATCGCCAATGTGTACAATATTAACTGCTCAAAACATGCGAAACAACTTAAAGATCGCGCACGGACTCACAAACCCTCTAGAGACATCGGCCGGAAGGAGCCATCCTTCACTCGAGCACGCAGAAACGCTCTCAAATTGCCAAGGTGGGCATTGGCAAACAAGTCGTCGGTGGCCACTGCCTGCTCCACAGACGGGCTTATCTAGAAGAGTTTGCTCACAGGGAATTAGGGTTTAGGAGGTTTGAAGATTTCTGGGATCCACTGCCTCCTTAGGCAGCGGCTGTTTGATAAATTCAGCCAGATGAGCTCGGAAGAGGTACTGTTTTTTCTCCTGCAGGGGATATAGACTCTGGTTGCGTGTGCTTTGTACATAGACAATAGGAACCCCAAAGGCTTCGTTGCGAAGAAGGTTGTGCATTATGTTAGATGCACTACTTTACTCGATTTGGAGGGGCCCTAGATCGAGTAGATGATCCCGAGTCCTGATAGAGCCTGTGCTCAAGCAGAATCTTTCTCGCATAGCCCATAGGATAAATCTGCGAGGATCGCAATTTCACATCTCCTGTCCTGGGGCTTTTGGGGTTTGGGGTTTTAGGGTTCGGGGGTTTTGGGGTTTAGGGGTTCAGGTGTGGGTTTAGGGCTAAGGGCCGATAAGCACGAAATATGACCCTGCTCGAAAGACTCCGACCCTGAGCCCGGTCATTGCTTGAAAGCCTCCAAAACCTGCCGCCCCCCAATTTCCCCAATAAGCAGCACATAGAAAGCTAGCCCCAATAAGCAGTGCTTAGAAACCACAAGTGCCTCTGCTCCAAAGTCAAGCCAACTGCAGTTGAGGTGGGAGCCTTTAGGGGTTTCAGGGGCTTTTTCGGGTTTAGGGCATCCCTAAGGCCACAAAATCATCAAGGCGAACCAGTAACCACCATTACTTTTGCTGCACCCAAAGCCTAGAATCCTGGATCGTAGTAATTGTAACAACAGCCGGAACACAACTGGCCTTTGCTACAGCCACCACAACGACCACTACACCTTTGGGGTTTAGAATTTGGGTGCTTAGCTTTTGGGACACCGGATAGGGTTTAGGGTTTAAGGGTTTAGGTTTAAGGGTTTAGGGTTTAAGGGTTTAGGGTTTGGGGTTTAGGGTTTAGGGTTTTTCTGGTTTGAAAGAACTTGGGGCTTCAGACCGTGGGCGTTAGGCTGCTGGGTATCAGAGGAATGCAAGGATCTGGGAGTGTTTCTGCTTCAGATTCAGTCTTTGGGGCCCGCGCACTCGAACTCTCCCGCTGGCATCGACACTTCGCTTGACCATTCCCCAAGAGCAAAGTTTCAGGGATCGGCGTCTTGTCTTCGTCAATCGTTTGTAGAGTTTTCGACTCCACGGACTCAGCACAAGATGAAGGTAAGGCTACAACCCATGTGGAAAAACCCAGTAGCTTGCCGAGGCATGCACCAAATCGACATCGCCAAGCTTGGCTTGGAGCAGAAGTGGCCCCAGGTTCCCATCCAGCTGAGACAGACAGGAACTTTGGGTTTAGGGTTTGGATGATGAGTTTGACTAGTCAAGGGTGCATTGCAAAGGGCTTGTCAAATCTGCACATAAGTGCCGGACAATCTCGTTCGTAGGCACGGGAGGCCAATACGTTCCATTATCTTCTCCAGGAAGAGGTAGAGAGGATCATGAATCACGGTCGTGCTTCGCGGCTGTTCTATAATCCAATATACCGATCTCGCGACACAGAGCAGCAATAGTAACATTGTTCTGGCAGTGATCCTCAGTGACTCCATTTCTCTATTCTAGATCTACATAGCAGCAAAACTCAAGGGGCCAACTAGTGTGCATGAGATGATGACACGAAACTAGCGTGCAAGGAAGCCACCTGTTTGCACGACGGACATATGCGAAGCTGGTATCTCCATAGGGATTTGATTTGCTGCGCTTGTGCGTGGCCTTATTGATCCATACATAAGACGTGCAGGGCAAGCCCGCCGAAATCAATCCGTCTTCCACCAAGCGAAGACACAATCGACCGGCATTCAGAAAGCCTTTCCTCGGCTTGCAAAGGCTCTGCAGGGCCACGGATACTGAAGCCCGTTCTGGAGGCCGCATTGGGTTTTAGGGCTCAGGGCTTTAGGGTTTAGAGTTTCGGGTTTCAACGACTACGTGTTTGGAGGACTGCAGAAGCTTGGTAAGGGTACTCATAATTTAGTGTTTTGGGATTGGAATGGAGGTCTTGCTTTGAGATCTTTGAAGTTTTATGAACCCTGCTTGGCGGTCTACCAGCAACGACTTCAAGTCCTGGGTCCATTAGATCCCCCGAAGCTTCCATTGCAATCCTACAACAATCCAAAATCCAAACCCTTAACCAGTCTAGTGAACAACAACCAGACACCTCAAAATGCTAGTAATACGACTTCCAAAGCCTTCAAGAGTCAGGCTCAGTATATCCTGCTCCTTGTCGTACAGGATATCAAAATAGGCACTGAACAGGGCAGAGAACACGAAGTCTCCCAAACAAGATTGGTGGTTGTTGCCGCAAAGAGACACACACACACACATACACCCACACCCACACACACACACCCACACATGCAGAATACCGCCGCCGACCTCTTCTGATCATCGCGACCTGGTGCTGGTTGGTTACGAGTTACGAGTAAGATAAGAGTAGGGAAAATCGCTAAGAGCATAAGTAGCAGCTAAGAATCGCAATAATAGGGTCCCAGCAGAAGACTCTGCATAAAGCACCCCGGCCAGAGAAAAGATCTAGCAGCTTCAGGTCCTTAGGAAAGTCTTGCGTGTTATGCTTCATAAAAGCAAGATACTAAGGCTCAGAGCCCGGCCCTTTGCGCATTGGGGGAATCAAGAGGAGTCTGTTGTGCCAGAAAATCGCACATGTGAATCCTCCCACGATATGACTTGTTCGACTCGATGCTAGGAGTGCTGCATGAGCATGAGGGTAAGGCCCTTGCAGCAGCATTGGAACCCCCATGAGCTTCAGGGCGTGAACTGCACATGGAGACAAAGCTAGTGGACTGCTTGTCCAAGCTTCCTGAGGCATGGTTGCGACATTCCCTAAGCCCTGAGCCAAAAAAGCCCTTGAATAAGAAGGGCAAGAGGACAACAACAAATCCTGTCATGCATAGCACAAGACTGTGCGAAGTCACTTCTCGAAGTTTTTGCATGACAGGTGCAGCTTCGAAAGCTGTTGCTGTTACTGAAAGCCACGGCCCCGTCTGCATATCAAGCAACTCTGCGCTTTGGGACGGTGCGATGGCTTGGTGATTAAGTAAGACAGCCTGGTCATAGCCCATATATGAGTGTAAGTAGTTATTCAACAGACCGGGGGACAGGCCAAAATTCAGAAAGCCAGCTTCTGAGACCTAGCCTAGCTGCTTTCAGCTTCAGCTCGGAGGAATCCATCCTGCCAACATGCGGGCGTGCTTGTACCTAGGCTCGGGGCTTGATTATTGAAGGGAAATTCTTGTGGGGACGTCTTCGAGTTCCAGAAAAACTGAGGATGGCTCGCTTTGAAAATCTTCTTGCCCCAGGAAACACAGACTTGATCTTTCTTGTCCATCTGCGAGGGTTTAGGGTCTAGAGTTTGAGGGCGTGGGGTTCAGGCGGTTTAGGTAACAAACACGTATGTAGTTGCGATGCTCAGCAAAGCTCTCTACAACATCCCAGCCTTATAGCTGGTGTCGTACAGAGCATTCACCTCCTCCATTATATCCCCGTCCGCGTTTTTGATATAGAACTGCCCAGCCATAATCACCTGGATCTTGGAACAGTCGCCGCGGTTCTCGTGAGTGCCTTCTTTAGGCGGCAGCAATGTGAAGGAGGAGCCCTTCTTCAGAATGCTCGGAGGCGGGAGAACGAACTGATGCGTATTGCTGTTCAGAAGCTTGAGCTGCTCCACCTTTTGGCGTCGTGTGTCCTGCAGACCAAGAGTTTTCGGATAGTCATGGGGTTGGCCAATTACATAACCGCAAAAGCAAGTCGTAATTAGGTATCCTCGGACAGCACTTTCCCCTGGCCCCTCGGTGGCCCAGCAGGATAAAACGTAGGCACTGTAGGATCCTGGCGCAGAAACAGTACAGATGTTTTTGAAATCTCAGCAACACACGAATGCATGTAGGAGTCTGCAAAGCCTCGTTGGCACCCATTTCATCTTCCTCTGCCGTTTCCTCTTCCTCCTTTTCCTCCTCATTGTCTTCGCTTGTAGACTTCATTGCCGCCTCTTCTGATTTGCTTCTCTCCAATGGCTTCAGTTTCCTGTTCTTTTTCTTTGGCGCCGTCTCTGAACCCGAATCGAAAATCGAGTCAGGATCGGGGCTGGGGCTGGCGTCCCTCTTCCGGGCTGGCTTGGAGCTGCTGGGGCGGGCCTTCGCCGCTTTCTTAACTTTCGGCTTCATTGGAGGATCTTCGGAGCTCTCCTCCCGGGCTTTGGCACATCTCTTCTCACGGCTCCTGCCGCGCTTCTTCGGCTTTTCCTTCTCCTCGGAGTCATCCTCGTGGTCTGTAGATGCGGGGCTTGCTGTTGCCTTGCCTTTCGCCTTGGCCTTTGCTTTCGATTTTGCCTTTGCTTTTCCCTTGGCTTTGGCCTTAGGCTTTCCTTTGCCTTTGCCCTTTCCTTTCTTTTTAGGTTCTCCCTCGTCCGCAGAGCCCGGGTTCTCATCCGGATCATCGTGCAATCCTTCTGGCTCATGATTGTTGTTTGCACGTCGAAGCATTGCTCTGGTCGCTTGCTGAGCCTGGTTTATCGACATCCAGACATGAAAATCTGATCATGAGCAACAAGCATCTACAGGACGACAGGCCTTGATGATATTCGCAGCATCAGGTCCAGCCAAACCAGTTCTTGCCGCTTCGATGGTCAAGCTTGCCAAGAAAGCAGCAGCCTGTTCTTCGAAGGTCGCGGGAAGATCGCAAAGGGGTTCTCGGTCCTGCAAAGCAGAGTTCATCAAAATTACTATGATTGCGAAGTGAATCTAGACATGCCGAATCACCATAGTAACCAGTCAATCTTATAAAGCTCCTTGAACACACCATTGGCTTTTTGAACATCGTCGTCTTCATCCAAAATGCCTGGTCGGGCTTCGCGTTCGGCTTCCTTCTTGAAGCACTCGAGGGATTCCTCGAGGAAAGATTCAGATGGTGGAAGCTGAGAATCAGTACCGGTATCCACAATAGTCCGCTGCGGCTCCTTCGTGCCATCTGGCTGCGGATCTTTGGAGCCTGTGGCCCTGGCTTTTTCGGTGTCCCTGGGATCTTTTTCCTTTACCATGGAGCCTTCTGCCCTAGTATCCTTCTTGTCCTTCGGAACCTCCCCCTTTACCGGCTCTTTCTTTGGATCTTTGATTTCCCCTGGCACCGCGGAATCCTTCATGGGTTTGGGAACCTCCTCCTTTACCGAGTCTTTCTCTGGATCTTTGATTTCCCCTGGCACCGCGGAATCCTTCATGGGTTTGGGAACCTCCTCCTTTACCGAGTCTTTCTCTGGATCTTTGATTTCCCCTGCCTCCGTGGAATCCTTCTTGGGATTGGGAACCTCCGCCTCCTCCTTTACCGTTGAGTTCTTCTCTGCCTCCCTGGAACCCTCGTTGTGACCCTCCTTTACCATCTCTCCCCCCTCTACCTCTGAGTCTTCTTCTTCTTCATCTGCTTCTAGATCCTCCTCCTCCCCATCTTCTTGGTCTTCTTCGTTCTCTTCATCATTTTCTTCATCCTTTTCCTCTTTCTTCTTTGCCTCCAAGTAGAGAAGAGAGAATAATCTAATCCGCGAAAACAGAATCTGCGACACTCCGACAAATACGAGACGAATACTCCCGCCTCTCCCTTCGGGCGGGCTGTCCTTACCATCTCCTTCAACATCTCCAGGTTCGGAAGATTCGCCCTGAAGAATTATGAGAATGAGCTCATCTTTGCAAACATACGATCTGCAAGCCTCGTCTTCTCACTCTTGCGTGTCCGCAGAAGAACGTAGCTCACCATGGATCTTTGAACCTTCGCCTCTTCTTCAGCCCAAGCCTTCCGAAACAAGCAAAAAACAAAGTAGTGAATGTAGTGTAGCAACACGGACATTCCCAGGCCTCTCGCATCGGTTTCTCATCAGCTTTCTTCACCAAAGGAAAGTCACCGCTCAGCTTCATCAGCACGGCCTGCCAGGATTCAGATGTTTTTTGCAGAGGAGGAATTTCTATTGCCACAAAATGTAAACTTGCCGGTGCGACTATTTGCTCCTTGTACGTAGGCAGCGATTTTGCGAAGGAAGCCAAGAAGCCCAAAAGGAATTCGAAATTCGCCTCCCCATGCGGCTCTTCGACCTGATAGCTGAATCCATGAAATATTGTAGTTCATCCGTAGTCAGTTTATCTGAGGTTTGCACGAAATCGGCTTCCAGCTTTCCCTTCTTTGGAGCATCCACCCAGGAAAAGTCGAAGGGTGCCTGAAACGGATAGGCGGGATTAAACTGGAGCAGTAACTTGAAACCAAGGTTCAGGCCTTTGCACTGTCCAATTTTGCTTGAACTTTCTTTTTGCTTATGCCTTCCTTGTCGGCCATAGCTAGAAACCTTTCTTCGCGCAGGGCCTTGAAAGATATCTTTTCTTTGTAAAACTCCTGACCCATGAAACAAGAACTATGTTGAACAAGCGACAAATACATGCACACAACCTTCCGGCAGGTTCCTCGAGAAGGGCCATCCTCTTGGCATCTTTCCGCACCGTCGGCATGGCGGAAGAAAAAGTCCCTTATGTGTTCTTTGCGTACTAGCTGTGCATGCATACAATATGTGGGACCTCGCTCATTGGGAGTACTTGGGGCCTAAATGTTGCAAGAGAGATCAATCATCCTGCCCGTAAGAAACCTTCAACCCTGTGCACCTTAAACAAAGCCCGGGTGAAATCCTTCTGGGAGTTGGTTTCGGTGGAGAGAATGACAATCTATCTCAAAATCTTTAGCCCCAACCTTAACCCCTATTTGCTAAAACCCTACCTAAGTGCAAGCCGCCAGCAAAGGGAGGGGCGGACTCGTTTCAGCTTCACGAAGTCTTCGGGTACCTGTCATGACTTTGGAGGGGCTGTGGCTTTTGGGTATTAGTCGTAAGGGGGGGGACGCACGTTGTCGCAAACCCCGCAACATAGATCCATGGCCCGCGAGCAACCCTGCAGCACAGACCTGTTTCCTTAAGCGATGCTTTATGACAGGATTTGGTTTTCATGGTCCTGCGAGCGGGTATGCATCAAGAACCTGGGTTTTAGGGGGGTAAGGTTTTAGGGTGCGGACGGCTGACAATCCAGAGCTTCTTGCGGTGGCCGCTCAGACCTCGAGGTTTTAGGGTTTATAGGCCTTGGGGTTTTAGGGTTTTAGGGTTTACTAAAGGGTTTGGGGCTTAGGATATGGTTCACGTCTGAATCCCCGACCAGGGCCCTATGTAGAATAGTGATTTGTAGGTCTTGATAAGCTTAGGGTTAGGTTTGAGCCTCAGAATGGGACAACAGATGCCTTCGATATATCACTGATCTTTCTCTATTTTGAGAGGTGCAGATTTCACGGGTATATGGGGATCCCGGAAAGAATTAGAGGACTTTACCAGATCCGCCGAAACGAGGGCTTCGAGACGCCCAGGGTATACATATGAAAGCATATGAAAGCAAACAAATGCATAAGTAAACTATATATACACACATGTGTAAAATAGGTGTGTGTGTGTTGTATAAACACACACTTATATACATACATACATACATACATACATACATACATACATAAATATAAATAAATAAATATATATATATATATATCAGCATGTATATACATACATACATGCATACATACATACATACATACATACATACATACATACATAAACAAGCATGTATATGTACACACGTACATATACACTTACATATACACTTGCATATACAGGCTTATGTGTGTATGCACTATCTATCTATCTATCTATCTATCCATCTATATCTATCTATCTATCTATCTATCTATCTACATATATATATATGTATGTATGTATGTATGTATGTATGTATGTATGTATGTATATATTTATGTATGTTTACATGTTATGGCTGGAGAGATGGCTTTCCTCATGGGAGCTTCCGACATTTCGCTGCCGACGGTGCACCTGGAGCCAGGGTTACCATCGAGCTCAGGGTTTAGGGCTTTGGGGCTTTGGGGCTTCAGGTTCAGGGCTTTGGGGTCCAGGGTGAGACGGAGATTTTCAATTTTCATTCTCGCTTCGTGAGTGTTCCGGTTGTTCATCGCTTTAGACAAGGGTGTCAAAGCCCTGCTTGCAACAAAAAACACCAGGAAAATGACCATTTAGCAGACCATCGTAGAGTGATAGTAGAGGGCATTTCGGCCAGAATGGGGTATTTGGGAAGGCCCAGGTAGACTCACAATAAAACTCCTACAGACAGTCCTTTGCGAGTAAAGTCTAGGGTTTCACAGTTTCGTTCATAAGGTCTCTACACTCTCTAAGTAGGCCTTTGGGAATTAAAGTGTCGAGCTTGGGCCTTAGAGCGTTGAAGAGTCCTCTGCCACACCTTAAACTGGCGCTGGTTCTATAGACTTTTCAGAACACTTGGGAAGTTTGTTTCGATGGCAAGGTGCACGTACAGGGTGGCCTAGAAGCGAGTGCTCAAAGACAGCACAGGGCCTGCCTCTGATTGAAGGATCGTTCCCGTTGGGTTCTTCACCTGCCAAAGGTTTGCCAAGAAAGTAGGGGCATCAACACATTTGTTCCTCAGCCTCAACGTGGAACTTAAAGGATGATGCGACAAGGTCACTTGGTTCTGAGGCCACAAAATAAGATTATTGTTCTTATAGCCATGCATACCAAGTCTCCTGATCCTCCAATCGCGGGATGCCCGATCGACACGCCACAGCAGGTGCCGGGAGGGATGACGATCTCGACACGCATCCGTCCGACGTAAATCCGCTGTGCAAGAGTCTATGGCTTATAGGAGCCTCGAAATCCTTGGGGTGAGTCTTAATGATAGAGGGTAAAACGGAACATGGGTTACCTCTATGTTTCGATGAGTACGAGGAGTTATTGAGGCTTCTATGTCATTGGCATCCCCTCTTTGCTTAGTTTCAGGATCCAGAGTGCCCAGGCGCACATTCAGCATCTTTTCTGTGGCAGTGTGATCACGCCCACCGATCCCCTCACGCAGATCCCCGTCTGGCGTTTGGACCCTAAAGGTTACGGTACACAAGCTTGATGGAGCGCGAAAGCGATGGGAAAGTGCCTTCGCTCAAGCAGCCTAGCCGGTCTGGATGCGACTAAAAAGTCGAGGAGCTTCATTTAATGCACGAGCCCTTGATCCGAACGAGCGCTAGCAATCCTGAATTACCTTTAGTCATAGTAGGATGGCTCTGGGGAAGAGGGTACCTGCTTCAAGGAACTGTGAATCGTGAAAAGGGGCAAAAGGGTAGCCTCACCAAAGCCTAAAGCCCGGAAATACGAAGCCTGTAAACTGTGCATGGATTTTCAAAGGCCTTAGAAAGGGGGACTTATTAAGCGGGTGACAAAAGAATTTGAATAGGGGTTGTTTGAGTAATTTACTCAAAGTGACCTCATCCACAAGCCTCACTAGTAAGTGCCATGATCCTGCAAGTAGAAGCCCTGCTCCCAAGTAGCTGGGGTGCAGTGTTCAGTTTCTGACATCTCCGTTGCTATGGTGTCAAGGTTTGGGGCTTTAGGCTTTAACGGCTTAAGGTTTAAGGGATGCGGGGTTCTGTTTGAGTTTGATGTTACAGCTTCGTACCTGTATGGTTTAGGCAGTTTTTGTTCTTACGATCACTGCTTTCCTGCTTTCATTGGTGATAGCACTCATCTCAGCAATATCACCCTTAGAGATGGGCACCCTGTAGCCCAAGACCCCCAAGATTCCAAAGCAGAACATACTACAGTCCGAAACCCTAGTGACGCCAACGCAAGCCTGCCAAAGCAGAAGAAAGCTCATTGAGTAAGTCACAGCTTAGTAAAGCCTCTTACAGCCTCTCCGATTGATACCTCCTGCAGCTTAGACTTCACAGGGCTATTTAAGATTCATCAACACCTTCGAAGGCCTATGAAGCCCCGCATGTAAATCCGAGTTCCCTCCGCTGGGCCGTGTTGCGGCTCAGTTGAAGTGTTGCCGTGTCTCGCGGGCCGCCTTCTCCGTTTGAGGCTCGGGAAGATCTGGGGGGTTGGAGACCTAGAACTCCCAGCCAGTGTTCTGGAGTTTGAGAGTTTTGAAGCAGAGGATGTGTTCTGGGATGCGGTTGGGGAGTTTTGGGATTGGGATGCTGGGTGGTGGTGGTGATGGTGGTGGTGGTGGTGGCAGCGTAAGCCCTGAGTGAGAGGACTTCTCAGCCGACCTGGTTTGAGTTTGAGACGATGGCCGACGCGTGCCAGGCTGGTTGGTGGTTGACATGTGTTTGGATTTCCGGCGCATGGTTTCGGATCCAGCTTGTGCACACAACACGCACACACATATAAATAAATATGTATGTATGCATATATATATATACACACGTACATACACAGATACACATGTTGAGCCCCAAGCCTTGATGGAAATCTAGAATTTTAAAAGTTGAACCCAACGCCGGAGCCTTGGGCTTAGGTTCGGTTAGCAGAGACGCGGTTTCGAGACTGTGCCTTTTTACAGGCTTTGCGAAATGGTGACGGGTTTGTGTGACTTGCTAAGGACTTGTTCGTGTAGCTTCGATATGCTACCGGAGAAGCCTAAGACCCGATGCGAGTCCTGATCCACATCACCCAGTTCTTGCTTAACAGTAGCTACATTTTGGACCACTCCAATGCCTGCGGGTTGGGAAGAAGCCCCAAACTTAAACCTTTTGTATAGTCCAGCTTCAGTCTTCTTCGGCACGGTTGCCGCAGAGGCGACTGTAAATGCACAAGGACATGAGACTTCCGCCCATACAGCGACCATGTACTAATCTACTACAAAATGCTGCAAATATACTATACTCTAAGACACGATCATATACGTTAGACGTTAGTCTACTACAGTATCCGGTAGTACAATAGAACATGCTTTAATATACTCGAACATTGTCCTCTGGACTCCATGGCCAAGACAGCTACAGCTTTCGCATCTCGTCACAAGACCGAATCGCATGGGTCCGCAGTCAGGAGCTGGGTTTGAGGATGTTGGGTCTAGGGTCTTTAGGATTTGGGGCGTCGTAGTTTAGGGTTTCGGACTAGGGATTGAGGTTGGGGTTTCGGCTGGTCAGGTTTTGGGTTTAAGGTTTCGGGGCTTGGGGTTTAGGGTTTCAGGATTTGAGATCTAGGATTCTGGGTTTGGGATGTGCATGTTTAGAGGGCGTAGGGTTGAAGGTCCGCAAAATTCAGGGCAAACGACCGTCGATTCTTGGGGATGTTGCGAAGCACAGGCGATTTGAGAGAAGCAGCTCTTCTGGCCTTTCCATAAGCCCGAAGGGCCGCCTTGAGGCTTTCCCGATAGATTTTTGATAAGATGACCCCAAGGCCCCGCTTCAGGCCCGGATGCTACTGCCAGAGCCCCAAGGCCCGAAACGCAAGACGACAAAAACCCTCCAGGGATGGACCACGCCTCACGGCCAAGGGTGCTCAGGATTCTCGAAAGTCAGAGGGGCAACAAAAGGAACACAGAGAGAGCTGCGCTCAGCTTGCGGATTTAGGGTCAAGGTCATCAGGGTTTAGGGCTCTATCAGGTTAGCTGCT